TATATATATATATATATATATACTCACTCGATACATTCAACGCGGGCGAATGCGTGGCAAGGACCAACGATCGACCCTCGTTTCCCGAGTGCACGAAAGTGACGGGTCTAACATCATTCGCAGACGACTGTACGGCCAGGGCTAACGGCCTATCGTTGTTGGACAAATTAGAGTGCACAAATGTCACTCTGTTGTCGTTGGCGGTGGATGAGTGAACGACCAGTGCTACGGGCCTTGGCTCGTTTCCAGCGTTTGATTGCACAGCGATCAGCGGTGGCCGGGATTGATCCGAAGAGTTCTGTACCGCCAATGTCAGAGGCCTGGATTCATTGTTGCCAGTAGTATGGGTAACTAAAAGCTGCCGCGTATCACCCGGTATTACCCTTAGTCCTGGCCCGATATGTTGCAAGGCTGGCACGATGGTCGCAAGACCCTGACTCGTGTTCAACATTTGAGCACTGATCGGTAGATGCAGTTGATGCGGCTGCTGAACTATACTGGCGGTAGACGACGTAGCAACCTTCTCCTGAAATAAAAATGCCAATCTCGTCTAGTCTTCTAAATGCCAATCTTTAATAATTTTAATCTAATAAATCTATAGATATATTTACATACGTTTTAGCAAATTTAAATTTGATGTGCGCTATATGAATTTTCATACACGCGTTCGACGAATCCAGGCCAAATAAAGAGTTGAATAAACACGAAGGGACAAACTTGCTTCGATGAGCATGGATGGTGTCACCACAAGTACCAATACCAAATTTACATGACAAACACAATGTGATATAAAGACATGTCACGCACTTTCAAAGCCGTTTCCAGTAACAATCTGTAAACGGCTCTGCAAATGCGTAGTAACTTGCTTTAGCACCAGTTTATTGCAAAATCATGATATTTATGATCTCGCCTTGGATATGATGCAAAAAATAACTTCATCATGTCATTTAGAGTAGAACATACTTGCGCTGGAGTAGAAATGCTGGGTGCGGGTGCCGTTCCAGCAGTCGAACTTGCAGGTGGACTCTCTCTGGAGCTTCGTGCAAGATTCAGATCCTGCGTTTGGCAAACGACACCCGCAGTCGGGGCTTGACTATGAATATTGGAAGTCGTGCTAGTAGACTGTAATGCTTGCGGAGAACTGGCCGTTGTCACACTATTCAGACTGCTCGTGCTGCTATACCTTGTGCCACCCCGTGATAATCCAGTAACGTCAACCTCAGTATTTTCTAAAACTTGTTAAAAAAATTTTTATTACATAAAGAATATTGATAAGAATAAATTTTCTGCCATAAAATAAAAAAGAAAGATTAGGTAGACATAAAAGATACAGAGAAATTTTCTTCTCAAACGAGAATAAATAAATAATAAAAAATAGAAATTCAAGAAAAAATAGGATACCAAATAATCATAAATAAGTTTATGGAATTTTTTCCAAAATAAAATTTCCATTTTTTTTTATTTAATCGCTTTTAAGTTACAGCTAAAAGAGGATGAAATAAATCTGCTTTCAAAATAAAGGAGAATTTTATTAAAAAAATTCTTTTATTACGAGAAAAACAATTTCTTTGATATGAGGAAACTTATTAACTTTTTTAATTTTACAAATATATCTCACCAGTTTTGGCGGTTGTCACATCCGTCCCAGGATTCTGTTCCAGCAAAAGAGAATTGATGTCGATGTGATCCCAAGTTGCATTGAGTTCTTTCTTCAACGCAACTAATCTCTGTTGAGCCGCAATTTTTTCTCTCGCGAGTCTCTCCATCTCATGTTCATAATCTCGTTCTCTTTTTCGCAGTGCCTACGACGTACAAGAAATATTTTTCATAATTAAAATCTTTCTCTCTTAAATATTGCCTCTTATGTAACAAATGTAATCTTCTTTTGCTCGTACACTCTTCCTCGAGCATATGTATGTATATTACAGTAATATATTTATTAAATTATGAAAATTATTTATTGAAAAAATCCAGAATTTTTTATTTGCAATGTTTTCAAGAGTATTCAAATAATTATTCATTAGTAATTATTCGTTAAAAAGAGACGTTTCTACATTTTCTTTCATGTGGAATTAGCTTCTTATTCCCGATTGTACCATCAATCAATAAGATGACGGATCAAACTTTGTATTTTTGACATAAGATTTATGTTTAGATAACTTTAGTGTTAATGTCTCTGCCGCTTTTGATGTCTTAACGAGTTGCATCATGCGTAATAGTCAACAGCGACGACATTGGACGATAAAAGTCTAGAGAGTAGTGCGCGCTGTATGTATGTACGTGCCGTGCGACGTGACATCGATGGCCGTGCGGTCACGTGGAGTCGATATAGGTAATCCGTCTCGTAAAAAAATGTAATGCGCACAGAGATGATGCGATATATGCGAAAGAAGGGAAGGAGCGATCGGCAGGGATCTACGGTACAAAGGTGGGGACGCGAATCCCCGAGAAAAATTAAAGAAACAGAGCACAAGACAAGGAGAAGATTTTCAAAAAACATTACGAATATGGAAATGTGGTGAAACTGAAGGGGAAGACGCAACTTCCGAGTATCTTTTCTTCATGTTGTCTGGCATTAGTGATTGCTCGAGGATCATGGCTTATCGTGCAATGTCTTGCGACAACGGCAAAATAGAATGGAATACGCTATAAATCATGTATTTTACATAACGGGCTAAAACTTGCCTGTATGTATTTGTTCGCTGCATGGAGAATAGAGAGATTCGAAGATTTTTTTTCGTCTTGTGATGGTAGCTGCCTCTTTAGAATTTCAAAACACTCCTTCAGATGAGCCCTCCGATTCTTTTCCAGCTTATTGTGTACTTCCCTAGTACCAGATCGAATTACACATGCTCTATAATGAGAAAATATAAATTAGAAAACAATACACAAATAGGAATAAATAAAAGAATTATTTCTCTATCTCCTTCCGAATCTTAAATTTATAAATTTAGGATAGCAATTTTGCAGATATAACAGTAGCTACTGTTTTGTGTGAAAAGGACAATATTGTTAAATATCTAAAAATTTAGCAGATATAGATATAAAAATTATTTTATTGGAGCATCAATATAATGAATCAAACTGGTTGCTAGAATCAATCAAAACTTAAGATTCCTACGTATTATTTTGATGGTCCAACATTATTTTCAAATTTGTATCTAGTTGAATTTTTAGATACTTGAGCAAAATTTCATTCTTTCCATAATATGCAACGCGATCGCGTAACGCCACGCGTTACCGTCGTGCAATGCAAACGCGCCGAGCGACGCATCGTGCACGTGCCATTCACCCTGGACACGTGCACGGCGTAAATAGGTATAGCCGCCTGTAACATCGGCGACGGCGTCGCTAGTGCACGCAGAGGAGCGGAGAGGAGAGAAGATGAGGCGAGAACGCGCGAAGCAACAGGCTGACGTATCGACTCGCAATGGAATGTGTCGGTGTCGCCGCGTAAGTATGTGTCCATCACGGACAGATATTATAGAATCTATTTTAGAATTCTATGAATTCGAATGTAACAGTATTGATAAGATATGCAACAAACAAGTAGAGATCAATAAAGCCTTTTCCTAGCTTGATCCTTGGTCCAATTCTCAATTCTTAGTTTAATTCTCATACTTTAGTTTGTAAATTCAAGATTAGTTCGTGATACAATTAAGAATAAAATTGTTATTACAAAATCAACGCTAAATGTTGTAACGGCAAATAATCTGGGTTTACGATACCTCTAGAAGAGGATGCGAAAATAACGTAAAGAAAAATATAGAAATTTATTGATAAGCTTACCCAGTTGTTCGGTGTTTCTTATTGTCGTGGCTCGTTTCATCAATAACGAGGTTGCCTACAGTTTGCTGAGATTGATTCGGATTGTGATTCTCCATATAATGATTATGCGTGCTATGATGATCGCTATGATGGTGATGTTGTTGATGAGGTTGCTGCTGTTGTTGATGATGTTGCTGCTGTTGCGGCTGCTGTTGCTGCTGCTGCTGCTGCTGCTGCTGCTGCTGCTGTGGCTGTTGTGAATGATGATGAGGATGAGGATGATGAGACATGGAATGAAGCGCAGTCAGCTGAACAGAGGTTGATCCGGTTGATGACGGCGTGACTCGTGTATTGGAGACCATAGATGTACCTCGGAAATGAGTTGAAAGATTCATTCTGTTGTTCTCCAATGGTTCTTCTTCTGCAACATCATTAGAATGGTTTTACATAAGATATTAAAAAGTTTAAGTTCATATTTTCAAAAAATAAATTTTATAACAAAAGATTATTATTTATCTTAGAAAGCTCAGAAAAGATTTTCATTACTTTGTAATACATAATATCTACCTTACATAATATCTATCTTTTTTAAAGTTACAAGTTTAAAATAATTTTGAAATAAAATTATTATAATAAATTCTTCAATTCAAATAAAAAATGTATACAAATATATAAATATGCTTAGAAAATATCAAGATCAGAAAAGAACATTCGAATTTTATATATTTACATTAGTCTAGCGATAAATCGATAGTCGAGGAATACGTATCGTCATTTGAAAAGTTCTCAGAGCGTTCCGATAGAAGCCAAAATTTTATTGCAGCGATTTTATCGTATCATCCCAAAACTTTCATTCTGAATATAGACACATTCACAAAAGCCACTACAATTCCTAACATTCCACAGATGCAGACGAGTTCTTAGCTTGCCATTCTATTCTATGCTCGAGCTTGAATGGCCACGCTTTCGCCTAAGATTAGCAGATATTTTCTGGAGTGGCGATGGCTTTGAGCGTGTCAATCCTTTCGTCGACAACTTATTTCTTGTACAGAATATATCGGAAATTATATCAATAATTCACTTGATTAAGTTTTAATTTATATATAACATTATTTCATTTTTAATATTTTTATACAAATAATTAAAAAGATACAATCAGGAATGTGATATATTACGTACTGATTAGCAATCAAATATATATATATATATATATATATATATAAAATGTCTATATAATAATTTATTATATGAAAATCAGTTTTGAAATTAAATAATTATATTTTCTCATTATTGTTTAACATAAATGATTTTTAATTGCATTGTCATAATACATAAATCGACCAATGATTAATTATTGTAAATATCAAAGTCAATATCAAAAATCAAGAGAATATCAGGCTATTTAACATTTAACATTTAAATAGAGAAACATTTTGCAAGTAATCCCTATAGAATATATTATTATGCGAGAATTTCACGCCATTAGGAATGTCGTGCTTTGAATGGCAGTTTTCCTGGATAAGAAAGATTAACAAAAATTCGCGAACAGCCGCAACGTCTCACTACTGGCATGAAGAGCAGCTTCCTCTCTTCCCATCCTCAAGCTTCGCTGTATCCACCATCGGCACGATAAATTAGCGCAGCACGTGTACGCACATGCAGCTAAACTCATTCATGTGCAAGTCGACTTGGCAACGACCGTCCCGTCGCATAGCTCGCGTCTCTTCCTAAATCTATTCCTAACGCTCAAAGACATGCATCGTGTGCGTATATCCGTAAGAGAAGACAACAAGAGACCGAGAAACTAACGACGGCATTGCGTACACGCGAAGAAATCAACCATGAATAGTTAATTTCCACAAAACGCAGCACGCACCGATTTATGTCAATTCGGATTCGAGAGATCTTCAAAGAATATTTATCGAATAATTTATTAAAGACAAATTCAAATTTAGATTAGATTTAAACGTTAACAATTAATTATACTTATTCTGCATAAATATTAGCGATACAAATATCGGCAAGCAATACCATATAGTATTGAAGCATCAATCTAATAAGTCATCACTGTAAATTAAGAATATATTCCTTGAATCTGAATTGACACAAAATTTTTTTCCAATTTTTTTATGCCGCGAGTTACGGAACATCTCTCACATGTGTACATTCAATCAATCTTGTAGATAAAAAACGCGACTATCAAACATTAGTGAATTCAAAGCGAATGTTTACTCGTTCTCTAGTTTGCAGTAATAAATTTTGCACTCGGCATATTTTCACGTTCGCTTACATGCGAGCAGAACCAAGGCGTGATTTTCCTTTCAAATGATATGCCAATCGGTTCAACGGGATTTTTTTCGCAAACACACGAGTGTCAATAGTTTATTCGGCGAGAGGAATGTATAATGTATGTTACAGGATAACACCGCATCGCGCGTTAAAAAATCGTGTGGAGCTACTTGAAAAGTATTATTATCGTCGCCATATTCTATGTCTCTGATTTCTTCTTGAAAGTGCATACGATACGCACCGCATTCCTGAATCTTACAAGATAACAATTTGTTGAGTGACAACTTGAAAACTTTTGTTTCTCTGCACATTTAAAAGAAGTAAGCGTGATAAAAAATGATACTGTTCTACTAAATTAAAAATATTAAAATTGCATAAGTGTCACGGATTAATCCATTAAGTTACGTTGATGCTGACGAATCTGTCGGCTGAATGCGAAATTTATCGAACATAATTCTATTTTAAAATTCCAATTATGTCCAATTTCATAAATGTTATATATATATTAGAAAAAATTTATTAAATTTTAAATCTGTTTGTATCATCTACACTGTTTGCTACACACTTGTGTGTGTGTGTGTGTGTGTATGTGTGTGTGTGTGTGTGTGTGTGTGTTTGTGTGTTGGTACAAGAGCCATTAATTTCATTTAACTATCTTTATTATTAAATAAATATATTATTTACTATAACTAAACATTTATAGCTAAACTAATATATATAACTAAACATATATATTTATTTGAAACAACTAGTTTCAAATAAATATTTATTAAAATTTAGTATATTTTTCTTAGTGTATGCCTTTATCACAATATTTAATGCAGTATGCAACTGCAGTATGCAATTGCAACGAAAGTTACATTATATTACTTAGTTGCAACATATTATGTTAATACAAATATGCCATGTAAAATAACAGGAATAGTATCGATTCTGCATACATTAAACTGTGCGGATATTATCGATCATATTAATCATATTATTATTATCATCGTTCTGAATTACAACATGCATTAATCAATAGTCCGTTAATTAGTGTTCTCCGCAAATGTAGAAATAGATCGGAAATGGGATTTTTTTTAAAAACCATCAGCAAAAGACGCAGCCAAATCAAACATTCCAAAGTCACGACAGATCGTGATTTCTGGACAATCGACAAAACTTTTATTTCGCTGAGCAAAATTCCATTTGTGGGAGCAACGTTCGAGAACGCACGTCATTTGCACTGTTGACGTAACATATGATTTCCTCGTGAGAATGACCGCGTCAGTTATAACGTCCTTCAGAAAATCACCTCCATTCTCCCTTTCTTTCCACTTAACGGGAAAGAAATCCGCATGCACTTGTAATCATCTAATCTCATGTTTGTGAATAATCTATACGTTTAAGTGATCAGTTTTGTTAGTTATCGTTTAGATGAAACATTACTGTATAAACTTTTAAATTATGTATAAATATTTGCACTTTACAAGAATTATAAAATAAAATTGCATCTCAATATGTCATTCTTATATTATTATGTTAATCATTCTTGAAATTACATTTTTTTTTCTTCCATAATGAGCATATTTAAACGAATTGATTTTCCTGTTTTTTATATGCGTTTTTTATTTTGTTCGATTCGAATTGTTTAAGAATTTGCTCGTCAGCAATTATGTTTATACGTATTCATTATCGAATCTTTTGCAATGTTTTAAATTGGACATGTTTATACATGGAAGAGAAAATAAAGAGCAAAAAAAGGGAGAGATCAAGAGGAATATAGCAGCTATCATTCTGCATTTAGCAATAAATAATAACTAAGAAACAAATTTTGTTTACCATATTATATATGATGGGAAGGACCGTTTTAATCGCATTATACAAAATATTTCGCTTTATTCGTGAGTGTTGGCATATGCATGCTGCATCTATAAATATCAAGTTCAGGTGAACAATTTTTTTCTTTCTTTTTCCTCTGTTTCACCAATTTGGGATTTTTTTCTTAAAAATCGGTAGTCGTTATTGCTTACTAACGTATAACATAATATTTACATTCCTCGCATTTTCTACGCTTTGCATATCTCATTTCTCACACGCTCAACTTGATAGTCGCGAGGTATAGACGCTATTTGACTTGGAAATACTCTACGAACTATAAATAGTCCGATTTCCATATCTTGTATCCGCAGACACACTTCAAATTCATGGCCCTTGACGATTCTCGTCGAAATCACGCTGGCGAATTCGTGTCGTTTTTTAGAAAATGCATGCATTTCAAAGTAATGGTAAAACAAGCGAAACTCTTGATTCAAAATTAAGATTGAAGATTGTGAAAATAATACATATATATCTGGAATGCGACAGTCTGTATCGACAACTAGAGAACAAGGAGAAATCAAAAATCAAACCAGCTAATTCGAAGAAATAACGACGGAAAGATGCGAAGGCATATCTTATCCATGTGAGAAATCGGATCTACAAGCGGAAAATACAGTAATCAGATGTTAATCAAAGTCGTTTTCGAAATGATACACTGGAATCGTCGATAGCAAACTGATGATTCGCACGATTCTTCTAAATAATGAAACTTGCAAAAGCTTTCAGGAATATTACAAGTCTATTCTGACATGAATCTAGTCTGAAAAAATTAGAAATCAAATATGAATTGTTTCTGAGCATTACAGAATTTCTAAAATTAACAATAAATTGACAATTATTTAAACGACACTTTGCTTGGAACACGCAACAGCACATTACTTCTACTTGAAAGTGAAACCATCTTTTTTAAGATTCGACGCAATTCCCGCGAGTAACAATGCAACTTTTCAACGCGAGCGCATAGTAACGTACAACATATCCCTGTGAAATAAAATCTAAGAAGTCACTACTTTTATCTTCTCCTCTTAATAAAATTGAAGACAGTTTGCTACATAGTTGCAGACATTTTCTGCAACGTTTCACTGCCAGCTTCGACCGAAATATTCGCACAATTCGTGAAAATATATTGTCGACACGCGTCCATTCGCGCGAACGATGCGTGATTTCATCTAGTTCGTGTGGAATATCTCATTTATAACGGTATGAAAATGCATGCCAATACTCTTTGCTGTTTACTTCGCCAGTGCAAAGATAATTATAAGTATTGCGTACAAGAGATAAAAACATCCGTATAATTTAACAAACACCGCTACAAAAAGTAACAATTGTTTATCTAATTAACTTGCTATTTTTCAAAGAAGAATTATTTTCATAGTAAAATTTAAATTTACAAACAAGTTGTTCCATTTCTTTTTTTTTACTTCTGCGGTATTTTAAAAAATTTTCACCGTAAAGATTTTTACGCTATACTTTTCATCACAATTGAATAACAGTACAAAATTATTCCGTCTATAATACGATTTAAGAAAATGAATGTTCACTATTCATAACAAATGAAGATATAAATTTTATAACATTTTTCAGTAATTCAAAAGGAAATATAAGATTTAAATGAACGATTATCAGATTAATATAATGCAATATCGTGTACGATATAAAATTCAATGTAAATGCATCTTATTCAGTTTGCTTCGAGTTTTCCGAGATGGGAACACTTTTTTAAAAAAACGACAGACAATATACTACGAGCGATTAAAGAGTTTACTTGTGTACATAAATTTTTTGGAGCAATAAAATATGCTATTAAATATTCTGAGAAGAGCTATAACATTGAGCACGAAAAGACAATAAATTCATGAAATATCAGTCGCCCGGTGAAAGATAAAATTTCAATGATGCATCATTTAACTGAATCTTGTTTGCAAAAGATTCAAAATCAAAAATCAACAGAATAAATTTTCGATGCGAGATCTAATTTCATAGGGTAGCTCTCGTTTCATTCTTGAAACGGTAGATGCTCAGCATCACAAACTTTTATTTTCAAAGTTATTTTCCTGACTGTTACGAAAAAATATTACAAAAAATAAACAGTAAAGATTGATAGTATATGTTAAATATTTTAGATAGAATCGAATATTTCAGAAAAATTTATATATTCAAATGAAAAATTCATAATCGATTTGTTAAATTGTCTATTAACTCTTTCATTACGAAAACTTTCAACGCAAAAGACAAAATTGTCGCTCTGATGTAGATGGTCACAGCGACTTCTTCTCTGCAGCGTCCTCATCAAAAAATTAATAATCCATCTGTTAGATTAATTCGATTAAATCAAATTAAATTGAATCAAATTAAATCGACTGCACCGATTTTAGGAAAAATTCAACAAAAATGATATTTATTGCAAACGGAAAGTAACATGGAAAGAACAGTTTTGAAGTATCTAAAAATTTAGTTTAATCAGATACAGATCTAAAAATAGTTGGATTATCAAAATAATTATGTAAGATGCTCAAGATGATTGCGAAGAACGTTCATTCATCAAAACTTTTTTGCAACTTTGCACATCATCAACCTGTCTCCTATTTATTTTAATGACTTAACAAAATTATTTTTAGATCCACTTATGTAAATAAGAAATTTAACAAATTACTTTTCCGTGTGAATTATTTTCATTTTACATGTATAATAAAATCTAACGTAATGTTTCTGATGAATACACAAAATATTCGAATAAATGAATAAAAAATAAATGAAAATGCTCATTCGAATACATATTTCTTTCTTATTCGTTAAGAATAAATATTTTTTCATTTCATTTGAATGAATATTTTTTTAATATGATTACGAATATTTTCTTTTCGTATTCACTTTTACTTTATATTATCTGCACATAGCTTGCAAGCTTATAAGAGAAAACAGAAATCTATAAAAACAATGGCTACGATTACATCGTGCGCTTAGTCCGACTTATATTCGATGGACATTCTTGTTTAATCTATAGATTAAACAAAGACATTTTTATTGAGAATAAATAATATATCTCGGAATTTAATGTCCACATCCATAATGAACATTCCAAGATATCCTATAAAATATTTATAATTTACATTACTGTCATATAACCGGAATTATATTGAAAAATGTATGGCGCTCTATAGAAATAGATAGATTTATAAATAAAAAAAATATATTTTTCTAAAATATTTTTCAAAATTTCTAAGTTTCCTTTATAAAAATCTGAATATTATAATGACAAAAATAAATAAAATTCATTTTTTTTTACTTAGTCATCAAAATACAGGTTATAATTAAGAGGTAATGATAGTTTATTTATAGTTTATAGGAGCCTTTTTTCAGTTTATATTTTGTTTGAATGAATATAAATACTCGCTAAATATTCATAGCTTTGTGAATAAATATTTTTAGAAAACTTAAAATTTTGAATATATGATTACATTTTTTTTGTAATGTAAAAATTTTAAATAAATACAATACAATTTGGAGCTAAATTACAAATTTTTGTATTCATCGGGCATACTAGTCGAACGGTTTGACCTATTTAACTAAATCTTCATGCTGCAATAATCCAAACAATTAACATTCGTTCGATTTGCTTCGAAAATTCCGAGCATAAATTAATTGAAATTTTATAAAAATATTAGCGAAATGTAAAGAGATGAAAGGGAAAGATGCGCGCGTCATTTGACTAGGACGTTTCAGGACGCATGTAAAAGGGACCTCACCAAGTAGGTAGTGCCGTATCCATTTTTTCTTGGGCGGGGGTGGCGTCCAATCGCTACTGTGTCGCGGCGGTTCACCACCGTTGACGACGCCGATGATACCGACAATTCGTGTCGGCGATGAATTATTTGCATCCGTCAGCCCGCTCACATTGTTATTCGTCTCGGCGACGACGTCGACGACGGTGTTTAGACTCGCGCGCGATTGCATTATCGGCGACGTAATACCATCTGGCAGCAGGAGAACACCCATCTTCCTTGTAAGTCGCGCGGATCGAAACTTTAACGTTTAAGCTGCTCTTCGTTTAAGCTTTCACTCTCTCTTCAGGGAAAATCGATCGACCGGGTGCTATATCCGCTTCTCCGTCACTATCGTCGCAAACATCAATGTCGTCATCGATGTCGTCGTGCCGTCGTCGTCGTCGTCGCGTTGTCGTTCGATTTCGCGATAACCGGTAATACTGTCGCTGTCTCGCACCGAGCAAGTCCGTTCAGGATGTGGACGAGAAGGTCGCGTGGAGAAACTGTCACGGAAATGTGAAATGCACGACGTGGAGAGAGGTCCGACGTCGCGATACCGCGGTCGTAACGGTGATGGTTATGATTACGACGACGACTGCGACAGAGAAGGGAAGCTACAACGAGGGCTAACAAAGTTGTCGGCGTGCTAGAAAAAATCCAAACTTTCGAAACGCGGAATAGCGAGTCCGCTCGAGCGATTTCGAGGGTCGCTTCGTTGCTCGTCCACCTCATTCCTCGGGGACGATCCTCGGGGAAAGAACATATTTCAACGCGAATTCCATAGTGAAATTTGCGCCCATATCGATCGTTGCGTCATTCATACATTCTTATATGACGCGTTACAAACGAAACGGAATACGACAAGCAATTTACAATTTATGGAAAAAGAATCACGTTGATAACGAAGAACAGACACTTTAGATCTCATCGATCTCGCACTTTACGGTCACTCGTGACTCCACGGCGCGTACATCATCGTTCTAACTCGCGATCGCGATACGCCTGTATATACCTCCACGAACGTCAATCAGCTGTTCCCGGAACTCCCGGCGATCGCGATCAGTCGATCGCGGCGATCGAGTAAAACTCGTACCGCGTGAGTCGCGGGCACCGACTGAAATCTAAACTTGCGTGCCGCCGCCTCCAGCCCGAGGATGACGTCCTCGTGCCTCCCTTCTCGTGCCAGACAGTGGCGGTGGCGGTGGCGGTGGCGGTGGCAGCGGCAATGGCAACTCCCCTCCTATCCCTTCCGCACGACAGTGACATCCCCGTTTCCGCGAGAATTGCCTCCAGTCACCGCTCGGCGCGATCACTCTGTCCTTATCGCGCGAAGGACTTGTTCCGCGACGACGTGACACGTTGGCACTCGAGATAACTCCGAACCCGTCGCGCATGTTCTATCTAGGACACTGCAGCGATCTCCACACCACACACACACATACATAGTGTCGGATTTATATCTACACAGGCACGTGCCTCCGTAACTTTCTATCATACTTTCTTAAAAAAACATTTGATGCATATGAATCTGCTTCATTTTGCATTATGTTACTTTTTACGCAATGCGGTGTGTTCTAAAGTATATCAATTAATTTCCTTTATCACTTTTAATTTGACGATACAGTTTTGAATGATTAATAACAATTACAGCGAGAGCAACACTCACCATCGATAATCAGCATCTTTTCTTCGCAGAAGAGATCATCCGACTCTGTGCGTTCTCTTTTGCATTTGGCACCTGAGAACATAAAAATCATAGTTTATTCGTCACATGTTATATGTTATTTATAAATATATAAAATAATATAAAAATTAATAAAGAGTACGATGTACATTTGCTAGCAAATTAAATAAAAACTATAAACGTACAGATTTTATTAATCCCCAAAATAAGATAAAGAGACGGCTGTTAATTTTAATCATATATAATTTAAATCAAAGTTCACTGAATAATTTTAAATAACTCTACTGCGTAAAAAGTTATATTTTTTTCCCTCTCCGATGATAAGAACATTAATGTGATTACACAAACGTAGAGGGCGCATCTTCTCGAACGTATTTCTACACATATATATATATATATATATCGTCTCCCTATCTATCTCAGATTTTCGCATTTTACGTCATGAAGGCGACTAGTGAATCCACAGGTCGATAAGGCATGAAAAATTGAAAGAAGCGCGTCTCCACGTGCTAGACTGGGGGTAGGTGAAGAGAACCTCCCCCCCCTCCCCCTCTAGAAAGGTCCGGACAACGCGACGGGTGGGAGTTGGAATCAAGTAGTAGGGACCGCACAAGCGTGTAACAAACATAAAGGTGGGGAGATACTCAAACTTGCCAGAGCAGCTCTACAACCGCAACAGAACCGGCAACATTGCAAATTGATCGGGACGCCACGCGGCCGTCACGTAAGGTGGGGATTTAGCCGGGGACGACGCGCATGCGTATTTCAGCAGTTCAATTTATCCGCGTGTTTACCAGTCGTTGCTGATTGCACTTCTATACACTACTTTTCTTCTATCACTCACTCTCTCAAAATACATAACACATATATATGATAAAGAAATATACTCTTAAGAAAAATTTTTTTAATTACTTCTTCGGTTGCCGGCTGTATTTGTTGTGTAGAAATATGATTAATTTTATTATTAATATCTACTCTACACCGCGATGTAGTAATTATTCTTATTGTTACTTTTTCGAGATAAATATATTTTTTCCATACTATAATTACATAAATTAATCTTTAGCTTTCACAAATTAAAAGCTGGATTTTTAATTTATTTAAAGACCAAAACTGTATAAATAGACTAAATTCATCCAATCTATATTCACAATTAAATCCTAATCTATTTCTAGTCCTAATCTTTATTTATTTCTAATCTGAATGATAATTATATATTTGTAAAACTTCAAATTCTGGTTAATCAAAATTAATAATAAATAATAAATTTTTAAAAATAAAAATTGAAATTGCTTACGCGCGTGCACCCATGTAAAATAATAGAATTGGTAATTTCGTTGTTTAGATAAAAAAACGATTCCTAGGAAATTTAAATAATATTTTAACGTGATGATTTTTGGAATTATGTAAACGTAAAAGAATTGAAAAATTCGAGAAAACCATGCAAAGATTTAATTGCACGTTTCTCATTAGAGACAAATAAATGGAACGAACTGAGGATGATGCCGGAAATGATATAATTTCTCTCTCATAGACAGTGTTCGCATAGCCCGGCATAAAATATGGGGGAAGACAGTCGCATTACGACGTTATAAAGTGGAACTGCATCCTTCAGCCGCGTGCATGATAGATGGTCTTAAATGATCGTTTAACACACGTTGCCTGTTACATCAGGTATAATCACGCACGCGCACCAGGATAACAGACCGGATGCGTGAAGATAGAGAGCGAATTACGATGTTCAAACCATCCGCATTACGAATAAAGTTGCGTGCGTGATATTTGAAATTTTCCATTTCGAAGGAGAAAGAAATCTCACTAATCAAATTGCATGCACACCTACAATTCATAGAATAGAAATGTAGTTTGTAAAATTCGTTCGTTATACCTTATTTGTCACTTTAATAAACAAATAATTCCTCCCGGTACGTCTATGTGAAATTATTGAAAGATAAAAAAAAACAGATGAAGAGAGAGAGAGAGAGAGAGAGAGAGAGAGAAAGCATATCAGCTGCGTGCACGAGTAGATGGCGCGCTCATGAATGAAGCGCGGAGTGGCCACCGCATCGTAGTTTCAGAGTCAGTGACCGGATCGTCCCCCCTTCCCTTCTTTTCCTCGTGTAGCGACCGAACACGCGCGATATCCAGGTTTGCCACTACCATTACTACCACTACCCTCCACCGTTGCATCGCCGCATCACTTCTACGGTCACCATCGGTTCTCTCTTCTCCCACTCCAAGTTTTGCGCCGCTTTAATGCTTTACCTTTCCCTCCCTACATACCCGTGACGATTCGACCTCGTCGGATACCTCCAGCACTTCTCCACCCCTCCCCCTCCTCTCCCCTCTATCTGAGTCGCCCGACTTCCGCCACCCTCCGAGATCTCTCCCTCCCTTGCCGCTCATAATTCCACTCACGCTCTCCCTCTCTCTTTCCCCTCTCCCACTTTGTCTCACTCTGCATGCAAGTGGTTCGAACACGCGCGCACGTAGATTCTGCCACGAGCAAAAAGATGCGAAGCGCATGGCGAAGAGTCAGTCGAATCCTTTGCACTTCTTCGTGCTATTCCCTTTTCCGCCTTCTCCCCTCAAACGGATAAACCTAAAGCTCTCCCCTGTCACATACATCTCGTTTTCTTTGTCTCTCCCCTCGTAACCCTTGTTGTAAAAATATTCACCTTTATCCACAATGGACTTTCGCGCGTGTCTAACTACAGCACGAGAAAGGAAAATTCCGTCGTCCTCGGTGCTTTCGAGAGGGAGACGCGTATTAAGCTCGACTTACTAACGATTACGTCGTTGTGATGTTGGTTGGAATGGCGAAACGCATGATAGTACTTGATATTATTATCATTACAAAATATTTTTCTTGTTTTTAAATTGTTTTGTATATTTTTTCAAGAAATCTTGAAGTTATCGCAAAGTTAACGATTTCTGCGATAAAGAGAAAGAAGGCAAAATGGAGAGGAGAGAAAGAGAGAGCCTTGAGATGATTGCCATCATGTTTCATGTACAGCTTTTTTCACGAGGGTTTGTCAAAGAAGTAGCGGCTTGTCAACTTGGGAGAATCAATCAGTGGAACTGCAAGGATTCTTCTTTGACATTAAATCCTTGTTCATGAACACACAGGAGTGGTATTATCAACTGACAAGTGATGACCAATATAATATAATAGATACTAATCGCATAAAAATGATGTACTACAAAATACTTCATTTTGAGACAATAAAATAAAAAATAGGGAACGCCTTCAGAAATAAAACCAATGTAAGGCCAAGGTAGGACGGCTCTCGTTTCAAAGCATCCGATGTCTTAGGTTCGTCTTCGTTACTTTCTCTTCATGTTCGTCACGGTTGAGAAACACTGCCACGAGGTAAATCATACCTAATTTGGAGACGGTGAACGCGTGGTCATCGCACACAACTGCGTGTGCCAGTGCTTCTCACTTAAAACAGACGTGATTGTTAACGCATGGTTATTGTTTTATAAACAGCATGAATTTATATGTATGAGAACATAGAGAGAAAGAAAAAAAAAAGAGGCGACGTGTCTATTATTTCCTTTAATAGGGCTACGTCAATATCTCGCCAAATATCTCGCAATAAAACTATGTATATTGTAACTGAAATTAGAGCAAAAATATCTTTCACCGAAAATTGTTTGTATCGTGAAAAATTTATCGTTTCAAAAAGATGACTCATATTTATGTATCCGTTATAATTCCGAAAAGTCACAATTTCATCATTGAAAAAAAGATTATTATATAGATATATGTGTATCGAAAGAGATTGCAATTCGCAGTTCCTTGTATTGATTTCATCGGTTTCTCTATATCTAATCTAATCAAAGAGAAGCAAGGGCAGAACGTTATCTTCCACATTGCGGCTCTTATTCATAGATTTGATAAAGGGTACGCTTCGTGTAATGCTTAGCGCAAACATAACTTTAATCGGACAACATCGCTCGAGTGCATTTCGTTTACTCTTCTCCGTCTTATCATCGGAGAAAGATAAAGATAATACCTTATAGACACAACAAATGTGCATTTTGCACATTCGTTCATTTTACCACGTTAAATCTTGTCGCATAATGACTCAATAGAGATTTTTACGTCTCGAAAAGGGAACATAATTGTTATCAACAAATTACTCACTACACCACGAGACTACTGTCACGGTACATAAAAATACATGTGTAAGCAATTGTCGCATTGATAATGCAATGGCGCAGCAAAAACGCGTA